ATCATACACTGATATTGACTTTGGTTACCTCTTATCACCATACATTGATATTGATATTGTTACCTCTGGACACCATAATATTATACATGTATTTAATTTGGTTACCTCTAGTCAACTTTCACTAATATTGAAATTGCATGGTGACCGCTTTTCACGATGCACAGATATTGACTGTGGGTACCTCTGGTCACATACATAGATATTGAATTTGGTTACCTTTAGTCACCATGTACTTATATTTACTTTGGTTACCTTTAGTAATCCTGCACATATTTTTATTTTAAGTTTTCTTTGGTCACCTTATAACGATATTCTATTGATAACACATTTTCACCACAAATAGATATTGCATGGAGTTACCTCTTGTCACCATACACATAAATGACAATCTTTATCTCTGGTCACCATACTTAGAAATTGAATTTGGCCATCATACACTCAAATCAAAATAGTTGTTTTTGGTTACCATACAAAGATATTAAAATTTGTAACCTCTTTTCACTATAAACATATATTAAATTTGGTAACCTCTGGTCGCGTAATACAAATATTGACCTCGGTTTCCTCTGTTCCCCATACACTGATATTGCATTTTGTTACCTATGGTCATCTTACACAGGCATTGACTTCACTTACTTTTGGACACCGCAAACATATATTGCATTTGGTAACCTCCGATCATCATACATTAATATATATTTTCTCAACCTCTGGTCACCATACACAATAATAACATCGGTTACCTCTGGTCACCATACTTTAAAATTGAATTTGGTTACAAATATGAATTTTGTTTACTGAATACCATACACAGATAGTTATATAGGTTACCTCTGGTAACCTTACACTAATTTTGAATTTGGTTATCTCTGGTCAACTTACACTGATATTGAAATTGGTCATCTTTTTTAATCATAAACAGATATTGAATTTGGTTACCTCTGGTCACCTTACACAAACATTGAACGCGATTACCTCTGGTCACTAAACAACGATATTGAATTTCGTTAACGCTGGTCAACTTACACAGGTAATTACTTCCATTAGCTTTGATAACTGCAAACATATTTTGAATTTGGTTAGCTCTTGTCAACTTCCGATTGTATTGAATTTCGTTTCCTCTTGTTACAATACACATTAATGACATCGGTTACCTGTGGTCACCACGCTTCGAAATTCAATTTGGTACCATACGATAAATATAAATCACATTGGTTACCTGTGGTCACATTAGGCTGATATCAAAATGTGTAACCTTCTTTCACTTTAAATATAAAGATAAGGCCTTTGGTTTTCCCGTTTGAATGGTTTTACACTATTAATTTTTGGGGCCCTTTATAGCTTGCTGTTTGGTGTGAGCTAAGGCTCCGTGTTGAAGACCGTACTTTGACCTATAATGGTTTACTTTTATAAATTTTGATTTGGATGGAGAGTTGTCTCATTGGCACTCATACCACATCTTCTTATATCTATGTATATCAAATTTGGTTACCTCTGGTCACTTTACAGAAATATCGACTTCGGTTACCTCTGTTCACCATACACTGATACTGAATTTTACCTCTAGTCATCTAACATAGGCATTGACATCACTTACCTTTGGACACCACAAACAGATTTTGTTTTTTTTACCTTTTGTCACCTCATGATAATATTGAATTTCATTTCCTATTGTTACAATACACATTAATGACACCAGTTACCTCTGGTCACCATACTTTGACACTGATTGCCACTTCAAATTGTTAATTGGCTGCTTGTGTTTAAAAACTACTTTTATTTATCTTTCTGATTATATTGAACTGATAAGACTTGTTTACTCTTTCAACATTTACACGAATCTTTTCTATGTTTTTGTTCTTTTTTCATTTTTATATATTCAAGGACAGCCTCAGAAGGAACATACAGAAGAACAGGTTTGATATAAATCATGAGATCAGCAAGAATATAGCATATTGAAACATTGCATTCAATACATTGATACCACTTAACTGAATGAATATTATTTTCCAGGATCGTCAAAGTCCAATCTGACACCAAATTGAAATTGAACTGGCAAACAATGTAAAGGGCATTTGACATTCAAGTGTACTTTTGGTATACCAAATGTTTTAGTCACTTTATAATTATCCTCGTAAGATATTTCATGAAAAACGCACTGATTCTATAATTAGTTCATAATATTATTTATCTTTTATTTCACAGAAAGCTGAAGAAAAGAATGTAGAAGGTGGTATGTATTCATTTGTGTTGTTGTTTATAACCAACCATGAAGGATAATGACAGAATATTTATATGATACTGTAGCTAATATTTTCTTTTTGAAATTTGGTAAGTTATTTTTAGAAACTTGCTACTTTGGCATAATAAAACATACACGTAGTTACATTTTTCTACTTGTATTGAATTAAATGGATATTTACCAAGTATCAGCATTCACAAGCAACTGTTATATATATTTTTCTATTTTTTCGTAGAAAAGGCAAGACCTTCAAGGGGGAAAAAGAGAGGAGCAAAGGTTTGATATATATCATTGGTTCAGCAAGAATAGAGAATATTGTAATATAGTATTCAATACATTTATTACAATTAACACAATGAATAATATTTTTCATGATCATCATAACTTAAAGCAGATCTGACCATAGAAATAACTTTAAGTGGCAATCAGTGTCAAAACATGTGACAGTGAATTGTGTTTGATTATTTTACCAGAATTATCCCCATAAGACAGTTTCTGCAAGATGATTTGATTTTATAATTAGGTCATAATATTTTGTATCTTTTATTTTGCAGAAAGCTGAAGAAAATGGTGATGAAGCTGGTATGTGTTCATTTGATTTATTGTTTAAATATATAATGATGACGACATAATGTTTATGCGTCGGCTGCCAGTAATTCTTTTTTGTAATACCAATATTTGGTGATCGGTTTTCATCAAATAGTTACTTTTGTTTCTTTAAAAACTGCTTTTATTTATCTTTCTGGTTGAATTGAATTGATAGGACTTGTTTACTCTTTCAACATTTGCATGAAACTGTTCAATGTTTTTATTCTTTTTCATTTTCAGATATTCAGGGAAATCCTCAGAAGGAACATACAGAAGAACAGGTTTGATATAAATCATTAGATCAGCAAGAATATAAAATATTGAAACATTGCATTCAATACATTGATACCACTTAACTGAATGAATATTATTTTTCAGGATCGTCAAAGTAAAAAATCAAATCTGACAACAAAATTGAAATTGAACCTCCAAACAGTGTAAAGGGCATTTTACACTTAATAATAACCTCCAAACAGTGTAAAGGGCATTTTACACTTAATAATAACCTCCAAACAGTGTAAAGGGCATTTTACACTTAATAATGTCTATCTAGTATACCAAATGTTTTTAGTCACGTTATAGTTATCCTCATAAGATATTTTATGAAAATCGAAGTGATTTTGTAATTAGTTCATAATATTGTTTATCTTTAATTTACAGAAAGCTGAAGAAAAGAATGAGGAAGGTGGTATGTATTCATTTGTTTTGTTGTTAATAATATACCGTGAAGGATAATAACAGAATATTTATAGGATTCTGTAGCTTTTTTTTGTCCTTATGTTTTTGATATTTGGTGAGTGATTGTTAGAAACTTGCTATTTTGTCATGATAAAACATACACGTAGTAACATTTTTCAGGTTGTATTGAATTAAAGGATTTGTACCAAAGATCAGTATTCACAAGCAACTTTTATATGTTTTATAATCTTTTGTAGCAAAGGAAATACCATCAAAGAGGCGAAAGAGAGGAGCAAAGGTTTGATATATATCATTGGTTCAGTAAGAATAGAAAATATTGTAATATAGTATTAAATACATTTATTACAATTAACACAATGAATAATATTTTCCATGATCATCATAACTTAAAGCAGATCTGACTATAGAAATAACTTGAAGTGGCAATCAGTGTCAAAACATGTAACAGTGAATTGTGTCTGACACTTATACCAGAATTATCCTCATAAGATAGTTTCTGCAAGATGATTTGATTCTATAATAAGTTCATAATAAGTCGTATCGTTTATTTTGCAGAAAGCTGAAGAAAATGGTGATGAAGCTGGTATGTGTTCATTTGATTTATTGTTTAAATATATAATGATGACGACATAATGTTTATGCGTCGGCTGCCAGTAATTCTTTTTTGTAATACCAATATTTGGTGATCGGTTTTCATCAAATAGTTACTTTTGTTTCTTTAAAACTGCTTTTATTTATCTTTCTGGTTGAATTGAATTGATAGGACTTGTTTACTCTTTCAACATTTGCATGAAACTGTTCAATGTTTTTATTCTTTTTCATTTTCAGATATTCAGGGAAATCCTCAGAAGGAACATACAGAAGAACAGGTTTGATATAAATCATGAGATCAGCAAGAATATAAAATATTGAAACATTGCATTCAATACATTGATACCACTTTACTGAATGAATATTATTTTTCAGGATCGTCAAAGTAAAAAATCAAATCTGACAACAAAATTGAAATTGAACCTCCAAACAGTGTAAAGGGCATTTTACACTTAATAATAACATCCAAACAGTGTAAAGGGCATTTTACACTTAATAATGTCTATCTAGTATACCAAATGTTTTTAGTCACGTTATAGTTATCCTCATAAGATATTTTATGAAAATCGAAGTGATTTTGTAATTAGTTCATAATATTGTTTATCTTTAATTTACAGAAAGCTGAAGAAAAGAATGAGGAAGGTGGTATGTATTCATTTGTTTCGTTGTTAATAATATACCGTGAAGGATAATAACAGAATATTTATAGGATTCTGTAGCTTTTTTTTGTCCTTATGTTTTTGATATTTGGTGAGTGATTGTTAGAAACTTGCTACCTTGTCATGATAAAACATACACGTAGTAACATTTTTCAGGTTGTATTGAATTAAAGGATTTGTACCAAAGATCCGTATTCGCAAGCAACTTTTATATATTTTATAATCTTTTGTAGCAAAGGAAATACCATCAAAGAGGCGAAAGAGAGGAGCAAAGGTTTGATATATATCATTGGTTCAGTAAGAATAGAGAATTTTGTAATATAGTATTCAATACATTTATTACAATTAACACAATGAATAATATTTTCCATGATCATCATAACTTAAAGCAGATCTGACTATAGAAATAACTTGAAATGTCAATCAGTTACAAAACATGTTACAATGAATTGTGTCTGACACTTTTACCAGAATTATCCTCATAAGATAGTTTCTGCAAGATGATTTGATTCTATAATAAGTTTATAATAAGTCGTATCTTTTATTTTGCAGAAAGCTGAAGAAAATGGTGATGAAGCTGGTATGTGTTCATTTGATTTATTGTTTAAATATATAATGATGACGACATAATGTTTATGCGTCGGCTGCCAGTAATTTTTTTTTAATACCAATTTTTGGTGATCGATTTTCATAAAATGCTTTCTTTTGTTTGATTAAAAACTGTTTTTATTTATCTTTCTGGTTGAATTTAATTGATAGGCCTTGTTTACTCTTTCAACATTTACATGAAACTGTTCACTATTTTTATTCTTTTTCTATTTTCAGATATTCAGGGACAGCCTCAGAAGGAACATTTAGGAGAACAGGTTTGATATCAATCATGAGATCAGCAAGAATATAAAATATTGAAACATTGCATTCAATACATTGATACCACTTAACTGAATGAATAATATTTTTCAAGATAGTCAAAGTCAAAAATCAAATCTGACTTGTTTTTTTTTATTCTTTTGTAGAAAAGGAAATATCATCAAAAAGGCAAAAGAGAGAGGCAAAGGTTAGATTTACATCATTGGTTCAGCAAGATTAGAGATTAATGTAATATAGTATTCAATACAATTATTACAATTAACACAATGAATAATATTTTCCATGATCATCATAATTTAAAGCAGATCTGACTATAGAAATAACTTGAAGTGGCAATCAGTTTCAAAACATGTTACAGTGAATTGTGTCTGACACTTATACCAGAATTATCCTCATAAGATAGTTTCTGCAAGATGATTTGATTTTATAATTAGGTCATAATATTTTGTATCTTTTATTTTGCAGAAAGCTGAAGAAAATGGTGATGAAGCTGGTATGTGTTCATTTGATTTGTTGTTAAAATATATAATGATGACGACAGAATGTTTATGCTTCGGCTGCCAGTAATTTTTTGATACCAATATTTGGTTATCGATTTCCATAAAATGCTTACTTTTGTTTGATTAAAAACTGCTTTTATTTATCTTTCTGGTTGTATTGAATTGGTAGGACTTGTTTATTCTTTCAACATTTACATGAAACTGTTCAATGTTTTTATTCTTTTTCATTTTCAGATATTCAGGGAAATCCTCAGAAGGAACATACAGGAGAACAGGTTTGATATAAATCATGAGATCAGCAAGAATATAAAATATTAAAACATTGCATTCAATACATTGAAATTACTTAACTGAACGAATATTATTTTTCAGGATCGTCAAAATCAAAAATCAAATCTGACACCAAATTGAAATTGAACCTCCAAACAGTTTAAAGGGCATTTTACACTAAATAATGTTTATCTAGTATACTAAATGTTTTTAGTCACGTTATAATTATCCTCATAAGATATTTTATGAAAAACGAAGTGATTTTATAATTAGTTCGTAATATTTTTTATCTATTATTTTACAGAAAGCTGAAGAAAAAGATGAAGAAGGTAGTATGTATTCATTTTTGTTGTTGTTAATAATATACCGTGAAGGATAATAACAGAATATTTATATGATTCTGTAGCTTTTTTTTCTTTGTTGTATTGATATTTGGTGAGTGAATTTTAGAAACTTGCTACTTTGGGATGATAAAAAATACACGTATGTTTAATTTTCTGGTTGTATCGAAGTAAAAGAATATATACCAAGTATCAGTATTCACAAGCAACTGTTATATGTTTTCTTTTTATTCTTTTGTAGAAAAGGAAATATCATCAAAAAGTCAAAAGAGAGAGGCAAAGGTTAGATATACATCATTGGGTCAGCAAGATTAGAGATTAATGTAATGTAGTATTCAATACATTAATTACAATTAACACAATGAATACTATTTTCCATGATCATCATAACCAAATGCAGATCTGACTACAGAAATAACTGGAAGTGGCATTCAGTGTCAAAACATGTTACAGTCAAAAATTAGATATAAGAAGACGTGGTATGAGTGCCAATGAGACAACTCCCCATTCATGTCACAATTTGTAAAAGTAAACCATTATAGGTCAAAATACGGCATTCAACACAGAGCATTGGCTCACACCGAACAGGAAGCTATAAAGGGCCCCAAAATGACTAGTGTAGAACCATTCAAACAGGAAAACCAACGATCTTATCTATATAAAAACGAGATACGAGAAACACTTATGAACCACATCAACAAACGACAACCACTAAACATCAGGTTCCTGACTTAATGTCCGATTATTATACCAGAATTACCCTTATCTAGTTTCTGCTAGATGATTTGATTTCATAATTAGGCCATAATATTTATTTATCTTTTATTTTTGCAGAAAGTTGAAGAAAAGGAAAATGAAGCTGGTATATATTAATTTGATTTGTTGTTAAAAAATGTTTTGTTTGTAATATCAACATTTGAGATTCGATTTTCATATATATCAAATATTGAATTCGGTAACCACTCTTTACCTTAGAAAAATATTTACTTTGGTTACCGCTGGTAACCTCACACAGATTTTGACTTGCAATGGTTAGCTGTGGTCATCATAAACATATATTTAATTAGGTTATATCCTGTCACCTTTCACATATATTGGTAACCTTCGGTCATCATACACACATATATTGAATTTGGTTACCTCTGGTCACCTTATTGATCTTGGTTACTTCTGGACAAATAAACATGCAAATAATGACTTCTGTTACTCTGACACTCTTTTCCGTGACCATTGGTCACCTTAAACATATATTGAATTTGGTTACCTCTGGTCACCTTTTGACTTTTGTTACTTCTGACCACATATTCGTGCAAATATTGACTTCTGTTAAACCTGACCACTCTTCACAGATATAGACATTTGTTACCTCTGGTCACCTTACAAAGCTATTGACCATGGTCATCTATGGTAACCTTACACAGATAATGACTATCAATCGTTAGCCCTGGATATCCTAAACATAAATATAAATATGTTATATCCTGTCACCTTTCACAGATATTTAAAATTGTATCCTTTGGCCACCTTACACAGATGCTGAATTGGGTTACCTCTGGTCACCTTATTGGCCTCGGTTACTTCTTGCCAATTGTTATCTCTGGTCACTCTTTTCCGTTTCCATTGGTCATCATACACAGATATTGATTTTGTAACTGCTCTTGACCTCAGACAAATATTTACTTTGGTTACATCTGGTCACCTTACACAGACATTGAAATTTGTTACCTCTGTTCTATTTCAGCAGATATTTATTGTGGTTTCCTCTGGTCACATTCTTAAGCCATGCAAATATTGACTGCTGTTACATCGGTCACCTTACAAAGACATTTCCATTGGTTTCGTACGGTTATCTGATACAGATATTGAATTCCACTAGTGTACTCTGGTCATCAGACACAGATTTGTGGAAAGAAAACAAATTGTAATTTTCAAATATTGACTTCTGTAACCACTTGTTCCGTTACCATTTTTCATCATAACAGATATTGATGTAAGACAGATATTTACTTTGGTTACCTCTGGTAATCTTACACAGATATTAAGTTTGGTTACCTACTGTCACGATATTGACTTTGGTTACCTATGATAACCTAAAACAGATTTTAACTTTCAATGGTTAGCACGGGTCCTCCTAGAAAGAAATTCCATTTGGTCAGATATTGGCCTGTTTTAGGTTACCTGAAACAGATATTGACTTTGGTTTTTTCTGGTCATATTCAAATGCAGATATTGACTTTGCTTACCTCTAATCAACTTGCACAGATAAAGACGTTGTTATCTCTGGTCACCTTACACATATATTGACTGTGGTTACCTATGATAACCTTACACATATATTGACTGTGATTACCTATGATAACCTTACACAGATTTTAACTTTGAATGGTAAGCACTGGTCATCCTAGAAAGAAATTCCATTTGGTCAGATATTGGCACGTGTAAGGTTACCTTAAATAGATATTGTTTCTTGTCATAAACACATGCATATATTTACTACGCTTACCTCTGATAAACTTGCACAGATATTGACTTCATATACCTCTGGTCACCATACAAAGACAGATATAGACTTGGGTTACCTCTGGTAACCTTACACAGACATTGACTTGGGAAACTCAGGTCAGCATACTCATGCATATATGGATTGTGGTTTCCTATGATCATCTAAACAAATATAAACATTAGTTACGATACTTGTGGTCACCTTACAACTATATTGACCTGTGATAGGTTACCTGAATGAAATATTGACTTTGGTTGTTCCTTGTCATGTACACATACATACATTGACTACGCTTACCTCTGGTCACCTTAAAAATATATTGGTCTGTGTTAGGTTTCTTAACTTAATCAGATATTGACTTGGTTGTTTTTCGTCATATACACATCCAGATATTGACCATACTTACCTCTGGTCATCCTGTACAGTCATTGACTGCATGTACCGATGGACACCATACAAATACAGATATGGACTTTGGTTACCTCTGGTTACCTTACCCAGGCATTGACGTGTGGTTACCTCATACAAATATTGAGTTCCACTTGTGTGCTCTGGTCATCAGACACAGAAATTTTCTGTCAAGTCGAAGAAATTGTAATTTGCATATTGTGGGAAGATAATATGTACATACCAATTAATGTAAGGCATTGAATATCATTCATAATTCATACGAGATAGTTAAATTTGGATGACAATAATAATATATTTCTTATCTAATTAGATAAAGTTTATTAAAAACGGAACTGCATTATATAGCTATGCTGATGACAATAACAATACATTCAGAGGAATAATGTTCAAAACAGTGATAGATTTTATGAACAAAGTAGTAAAACTCTTGTTTTTCTTGTGTTACGCTTATCATTCTGTACCATACTCTTATCTTCACAGGTTCAAGTGAACTTACTGAATGGAACGACATTTCATCGTTTGAGGAGTTCAGGCTTGCTAGTACGTACATTCAATAAATTTTCAAATCATTTAACATTAGGTTACTTTTATCACCAACATGCATAAATCTGTATTAAGTCCTCAAATATGAATATGACAATATACAGAACACCCTGATCAACTGCGATTGTTAAATTACAAAATATATTGTTCTCTTCCTTGACTGTATTGTACTTTTAGTACATCTCACTTTTGATGATGAATGACTCTAAACTCTGAAGTGACGAACTGGTAACCCATTTTAGGCGAAAAGTTCTTTATAGTATTCGCTTTATAAATTTTATATATTTTTCACATCTGACCAAAAACTCTTTCCTTAATTCATTTAATTAATAAGGCCGTCAAAAACATAATTTCAATAATTTTATTACTCTCATCTTTACGGATACATGATTTGTTCTACAATTTTTTAAGACATAAGACCAGTCAGAAGTAGATTACAGTCATTGAAAACTAATAAGACTAGTAAACGTTTGATTCATATGGTAGATGGGGATGAGATAACTGCTAGGGTACAAGGACCTGAAAAGATGTCATTGCATCAAGTTGGGGATTACCTGAGCATCGGCAAGTCAAACACAACCCACCAAACCAGAAAAGAGCTGGCTAGATTGGTGAACTTGGTACCACAACCGACAAACACAGAGCCAGCCGTGACATCTGCTTGGTCAATGTTAACAAACGGTAGGACTTTATTAATTACATTTGCATCTAAATTCTGAATGTTTTGATGGCTAAATCACAGACAATGTTTTTAATAGGTACAAATGAAAATGTAAACCCGAGATTGGTGAGCTCGTGTTTCCATCAAGCCATTTATATAGGAAAAGTAAAGTATGTTATTAGATATGTGAACCATGATCTGTCCAGTATCTTTTGTCAATAGAAATTGACATATTTTATTCAATGATATCCAACCAACTTATATTGATTATATTTTGGCACCACTTACTTCCACAGCGGTACAGTTTCCGACTATATATGTTGGTAACTGGTTTTTGTCACACCATATGTGACAAACAAACTAAAAGAATCAAATGGCCTAACTTTCAACACACGATACTATAATAATTATTGACACATCAAAAACACCTAACAAAACTATGACAATTAAATTACTTAAAGTAAAGGAAACAGGTTATTTGATGTATATTTATCCATAACACTGTATATCAATCCTGGCTTTAATGGGAGTCCAAATAACCTAAGCATTCATGTTCGAGTTTCGGATCCCCTGGTATATTACTGTTTAATTAATTATCTGTTATCTGACTTGGTCTTCCTACCACTTTTTATTCGTTTAGACTTGTTTTAAGTAATAAGAGCATAGATTACAGATGTTTAATTACGCCTTACTATATATCTATGTGCTTAACAGCAAGACAGGATCACATCTGTGTCTGATTTCATTTTCAGGAGATGTTGAATATCAAATACAGTCCATCAACAATATTACGGAGGCCCTTGTTGACAAGGAGAAAACAAAAAAAGCTGTATTAAAAAAAATGAAAGGAACAGCTGCACAAAAAAAGGATAACATTGAAAAAACTAAGTAAGTGTTGTTCAAGTCCTTACATTGTGTGAATGATTCTTTAATGGCAGTTTACCAACTCATTTTCTTGACATCTTTTATTAGCGTCCTATGAAGACTTAATAGAAAATACATACATAGATTGAATAATTTTGAAAATATACAAGTGTATAATACAATCAGAAACTTTAAATTTACTCTTGAAGTACACAAAATATGTATAAACCTTAAACATTTGTGTTAATGTTGGATGAACTACTCTGTTTTAATTCTAGAAAAACTGTATCCAAGGTTTTGTATTCATTTATCTACTACATGAATAACTTATTATATTCATTTGTTTACAAAAAATCCAACAACACATAAACCATTCTTGGAAAGTCTCATCAGATACAATTTAAATGCACACTAGTTTTTAAATTGAAACAACCTAGCCCCGACCTTAATACACATTATTGGAATAACAAAATAGAATAATTTGACCCAAAAGTATTGATGTCCAAATTACTTTATTACATTGGCCCAACCATTAACCTAGCACTATCTTATTGATTGTGGTTACGTTTACCATTGATATTCTTATTTTATTTTCCAAACTATTAAAAAAAACAGAATTTTATTTATGACATCATGTATGCACTTAGTACCCAAATATTGAAATCTTTTCGACATTTAGAAAGTTTAAATAATAGTAAATAAGATAAAAAGCTTCTTTATTATTTTCAGCAAAATAATGTAGTTTAAAGCCACTTCTTCTTTCGTATTATTACATACTCTTTAAGTCTTTTCTTCAATAGGATTTCATTATTCTTAAGCTTATTAAAACTAAATTAAAATGGTGTTTATTATATAAAATTCTTTAAAGTTAAAGAGGTGTCTTCTACTTATACAAATACCTTATTGCTGTCTTCATTATTTTGCAGAGAAATAATTGGCCACGTTATACAAGAACTAAACAAAACTAAAGTGAACCAAGCCATGCACGGGAAAGTTTTCGAAGGATTCTGGAAGACAATTGAGACAATGCTGCCAGGTAGTGATTAAATTAAGACATCACAATTTTTATCATATCTTTGAAAATATTTGTTCATTTGTGTCTAAAATGGAGCTACTTTTGAACGCCAGATGCGCGTTTCTTCTATAAAAGTCTCGTCAGTGACCCTCATATAAAAAAAAAAAAATGAAAAGGTCAAACTAAAAACTAAGTGGAAGAATATTAAGGACCCTTATTCCAAAACGTTTTGTTAAAATAATGCGAAGATGATCTATTACTGGTGTCGAACTTCCTTTATTTTTCGAAAAATTCAAAGTTTTCTTTGAAGGATACACTAACATCTGACATTTTTCTGAACAAAAAATAATATGATATAAATAATTCAAATAATTTGTTGATCGAGTTCTACCTTCCAGTATGCATCCCCTCCGCTGATGAATTTACTTGAGAGTTTGGTCATTTTGTTTCAACAGAGTCTAAAAGTCTTTAAAAGTATGTTCTAGTATCCAAACTGTTCACTGAAATGGTTTCAGAATGGATCTGTAAATTTAGAACTGTCATCATCATTTAGCTTACGGCCTTTTTTTCTCCAGATTGTACAGTCATGGTCATCTTTAGAAATTTTGGATTTTCTGTTTGCAAATACTGGTTGATGTTTTCGTTTTCTTGTAAATTAACAAAGAATTGATGCCCTTAATTAGGGCTAATAAAATTGTTTTCTTTCTTTTATTCTGTCGTGGTCTTCAATTTGTCATTATGAACATACAAGTTTTTTTCATCAATTGTTCGTTTAACAGCCTGATTTGTCGTTTCTTTGCCTTTTATATCTTGTTGTCTTGATTCGTTTTCAATTGATATATATGGAGGTGGAACTACTATTTTTGCTACCATAACACAAACACATGTGATGCCATGGCTGATTGCAAAACACAAACAACTAAAAGATTTAGTATACACAACATGCACAACTAATATTGTCCGCATTACGATACAACTTCTACTTGGCTGTTATATTCATCCTAAAAATACTGTTCACTATTAACCACATGCATTGCCTGCGTTCTACACTCCCCCGTAATGTTTATATTCTTTTGAGCAACAATCATCTGTGCTAAGTGTACATGCCTACACATTCCTGAAAGATAATTGATCATGAACTGTGTAAGAAATAAATATATTTTTTGTCTTAATATTATACCAAATGAACATAATTATAACACAAGGTTAGCGTCTGTTTTGAAAACAAAACATACAAACTTGTAAATGAAATAATTAAAACCTAGTAACAAAAGTTTACAATTATAAAAAATAACGACACAGAAATAAAGAGCTATAGGTCAGCGTACGGCCTTCACAATGAGCAAATCCCATTCCGCATAGTCTGCTATAAAGGCCCCAAAATCACAAATGTGAAAACATTCAAACGAGAAAACAAACGGCCTAATTAATGTACAAAAAAATGAACGAAAAACAAATATGTAACACAGCAGCAAACGACAACCATTGAATTACAGGCTCCTGACTTGGGACAGGGACATACATACAGAATATGGCGGGGTTAAATATGTTAGCGGGATCCCAACCCTCTCCATAACCAGGGACAGTGGTGTAACAGTACAAAATAAGAACGAATATAGCTTTGGCACACAAGTATTTTTGTGTGTGAAAAACAAAAATGTATGTGCTTCATATCGCTATCCAGTAACTAAGAATGTTCAATTAATTCATTTAACTACTTCATACTGTAAATACATGGTAATCCTTCATTATATTGCAAGAAATCGTAAAAATGGTGCAAATAAAAAGAATAAAAACAGGTTTACGATAATTGATGAAGACAATGCTGAAGGAAATTGTTTTTTGAATCTTGTAAGACTGTGTGATTTTTTGATGATTTATGACTGACAAAATGTAGATTCATAACACTTTTTCACAAATTGTAATCTCAATTCTCAATTCAAGAAATCATCGACGAAAGTATACTTACTGAAGTGGTATCAAAAAGATTTTTATAAATATAAAAAAAAACACCTACCTGTATTGTAGAAGCTTGACAGCTGCACATTACATTGACAATATCAACATTGTAAAATGTCCCAGAATCTGTCTGTGAGGGAACAATGCCACACTGTTGATGAGATCCATTGGACAGCTTTTTCTAGTACTGCTTTGAGCATATACTGTGCTGTCTGCTTAGTTTTTTCTTCTCTTTGTCCTCTCATATTTTTTAGGCGACCATTCTTTGCAAGTTCGTCAAGATATCTTTAATAATAAATAATATATTTGTTACAATACTTTGTCTTAGTCTTTAATATGTTTTCATCTAAAATAGAATTATTCCTTATAATTTCAGATGATTGATCTCGAGTAACTACTATGGTATGCTCAACTAACTACTTTGGTATGCTTTACTGATAAAGGACACAATAATCCGGTGGTGCCTTTATATAGAACTATAGACTATATAAATATATGTAGATATTGAAAGTTATTTTGACACTTGCAAGACAATGACCAGAATATTGTTTTAATATTGATTTGTTTTCTTTAATAAATATACAGCGTTTTAACCAGTTGGCATTCATTATTTTTGTAAACTAATGTAATGCCCTAGATTTAAAACCCTGGTTAGCATGGATACCCTAGTACCATAGTACTAAGATGCTAGATGGTCCATCTATTGAAACATCCTTGGTATAATTAGTCTTTATGATGTAGTAAGATAGTAATATGATATTATATGGTCTATCTATTAAATGATGCTTGGTAAAATTGGTTTATATGGTGTAGTAAGATAGTACTATGATGTTAGATGGTCTATCTAATGACACATCCTTTGTATCGTTGGTTTTTATAGCGTAGTAAGATAGTACTATGATGTTAGACGATTTTTTTAATGAAATATACTTGGTATAATTGGTTTTTATGGTTTAATAAGATAGTACTATGATGTCAGATGGTCTACCTATTGAATCATGTTTGATATAATTGGTTTTATGGCGAAGTAAGATAGTAATATGATGTAAGATTGTCTATCTATTGAAACAAGCTTGGTATAATTGGTTGTTCTGGTGTTAATATTTTAACCTTACGCGGACATTGACCTTGGAACATTTGGTCACCTTACTCATGTAGATATTGACTGTGGTTTCCTGTGATCTCCTAATCAAATTTCGAAATGTTACCTGTGGTCACTTTATAACGATATTGGCATGTGATAGGTTACCTTAATCAGATGCTAACTTTAGTTATTTCTTGTCATATACACATGCAAATATTGACTACATTTTCCTCACCTTGTACATATATTCACTACGCTGTCCTCTGGTCACCTTACAATCATGTCCTGGTCACATTACACACGTATTCAATTTGGTTAACTTTGGTCACCTAACACATATATTGACGTTGGTTACCTCGTGTCATTTCAACAAAAAGGCCGGAGAACATGGTTATGGAAAGGGTATAAAAAAAATAGCAAGGAACACACTGTCCACACTAGGGACTATATTCGTAGACAACGAAAATTAAAGGACGATAACTGTGTTCCCGGACCAATATTGACTATGGTTCCGCTGGTCACCTTACACCGATGTTCATATATTGGCTTAGATTACCTCTGGTCACCCTGGACACACACTGACTATGTTTACCCCTGGTCCAGTTACAATGATGCTCTGGTCACATTACACACTCATTTAATTTGGTTACCTCTGGTCACCTTGTACATATATTCACTATGCTGACCTCTGGTCACCTTACAATCATGTCCTGGTCACATTACACACGTATTCAATTTGGTTATCTCTGGTCACCTAACACATATATTGACGTTGGTTACCCCGGATCATTTGAACAAAAAGATCGGAGAACATGGTTATGGAAAGGGTATAAAAAAAAATAGCAAGGAACACACTGTCCACACTAGGGACTATATTCGTAGACAACGAAAATCAAGGGACGATAACTGTGTTCCCGGACCAATATTGACTATGGTTACCGCTGGTCACCTTACACCGATGTTCATATATTGACTTATGTTACCTCTGGTCACCTTGGACACATACTGACTATGTTTACCCCTGGTCCAGTTACAATGATGCTCTGGTCACATTACACACTCATTTAATTTGGTTACCTCTGGTCACCTTGTACATATATTCACTATGCTGACCTCTGGTCACCTTACAATCATGTCCTGGTCACATTACACACGTATTCAATTTGGTTAACTCTGGTCACCTAACACATATATTGACGTTGGTTACCTCGGGTCATTTCAACAAATAGGCCGGAGAACACGGTTATGGAAAGGGTATAAAAAAAATAGCAAGGAACACACTGCCCACACTAGGGACTATAGTCGTAGACAACGAAAATCAAGGCACGATAACTGTGTTCCCGGACCAATATTGACTATGGTTACCTATGGTCACCTTACACCGCTGTTCATATATTGACCTAGGTTACCTCTGGTCACCTTGGACACATACTGACTATGTTTACCCCTGGTCCAGTTACAATGATGCTCCGGTCACATAACAAACTCATTTAATTTGGTTACCTCTGGTCACCTTGTACATATATTCACTACGCTGTCCTCTGGTCACCTTACAATCATGTCCTGGTCACATTACACACGCATTTAATTTGGTTATCTCTGGTCACCTAACACATATATTGACGTTGGTTACCTCGGGTCATTTGAACAAAAAGGTCGGAGAACATGGTTATGGAATGGGTATAAAAAAAATAGCAAGGAACACACTGTCCACACTAGGGACTATATTCGTAGACAACGAAAATCAAGGGACGAAAACTGTGTTCCCGGACCAATATTGACTATGGTTACCGCTGGTCACCTTACACCGATGTTCATATATTGACTTAGGTTACCTCTGGTCACCTTGGACACATACTGACTATGTTTACCCCTGGTCCAGTTACAATGATGCTCTGGTCACATTACACACTCATTTAATTTGGTTACCTCTGGTCACCTTGTACATATATTCACTATGCTGACCTCTAGTCACCTTACAATCATGTCCTGGTCACATTACACACGCATTCAACTTGGTTATCTCTGGTCACCTAACACATATATTGACGTTGGTTACCTCGGGTCATTTGAACAAAAAGGTCGGAGAACATGGTTATGGAAAGGGTATAAAAAAATAGCAAGGAACACACTGTCCACACTAGGGACTATATTCGTAGACAACGAAAATCAAGGGACGATAACTGTGTTCCCGGACCAATATTGACTATGGTTACCGCTGGTCACCTTACACCGATGTTCATATATTGACTTATGTTACCTCTGCTCACCTTGAACACATACTGACTATGTTTACCCCTGGTACAGTTACAATGATGCTCTGGTCACATTACACACTCATTTAATTTGGTTACCTCTGGTCACCTTGTACATATATTTACTATACTGACCTCTGGTCACCTTACAATCATGTCCTGGTCACATTACACACGTATTCAATTTGGTTAACTCTGGTCACCTAACACATATATTCACGTTGGTTACCTCGGGTCATTTCAACAAATAGGCCGGAGAACACGGTTATGGAAAGGGTATAAAAAATAGCAAGGAACACACTGTCCACAGTAGGGACTATATTCGTAGACAACGAAAATCAAGGGACGATAACTGTGTTCCCGGACCAATATTGACTATGGTTACCGCTGGTCACCTTACACCGATGTTCATATATTGACCTAGGTTACCTTTGCTCACCTTGGACACATACTGACTATGTTTACCCCTGGTTCAGTTACAATGATGCTCTGGTCACATTACACACTCATTTAATTTGGTAACCTCTGGTCACCTTGTACATATATTTACTATACTGACCTCTGGTCACCTTACAATCATGTCCTGGTCACATTACACACGTATTCAATTTGGTTAACTCTGGTCACCTAACACATATATTGACGTTGGTTACCTCGGGTCATTTCAACAAAAAGGTCGGAGAACATGGTAATGGAAAGGGTATAAAAAAAATAGCAAGGAACACACTGTCCACACTAGGGACTATATTCGTAGAAACCAAATATCAAGGGACGATAACTGTGTTCCAGGAACAATATTGACTATGGTTACCGCTGGTCACCTTACACCGATGTTCATATATTGACTTAGGTTATTTCTGGTCACCTTGGACACATACTGACTATGTTTACCCCTGGTCCAGTTACAATGATGCTCTGGTCACATTACACACTCATTTAATTTGGTTACCTCTGGTCACCTTGTACATATATTCACTATGCTGACCTTTGGTCACCTTACAATCATGTCCTGGTCACATTACACACGTATTCAATTTGGTTAACTCTGGTCACCTAACACATATATTGACGTTGGTTACCTCGGGTCATTTCAAAAAAAAGGTCGGAGAACATGGTTATGGAAAGGGTATAAAAAAAATAGCAAGGAACACACTGTCCACACTAGGGACTATATTCGTAGACAACGAAAATCAAGGGACGATAACTGTGTTCACGGACCAATATCGACTATGGTTACCGCTGGTCACCTTACACCGATGTTCATATATTGACTTAGGTTACCTCTGGTCACCTTGGACACATACTGACTATGTTTACCCCTGGTCCAGTTACAATGATGCTCTGGTCACATTACACACTCGTTTAATTTGGTTACCTCTGGTCACCTTGTACATATATTCACTATGCTGACCTTTGGTCACCTTACAATCATGTCCTGGTCACATTACACACGTATTCAATTTGGTTAACTCTGGTCACCTAACACATATATTGACGTTGGTTACCTCGGGTCATTTCAACAAAAAGGTCGGAGAACATGGTTATGGAAAGGGTATAAAAAAAATAGCAAGGAACACACTGTCCACAATAGGGACTATATTCGTAGACAACGAAAATCAAGGGACGATAACTGTGTTCCCGGACCAATATTGACTATGGTTACCGCTGGTCACCTTACACCGATGTTCATATATTGACTTATGTTACCTCTGCTCACCTTGGACACATACTGACTATGTTTACCCCTGGTTCAGTTACAATGATGCTCTGGTCACATTACACACTCATTTAATTTGGTTACCTCTGGTCACCTTGTACATATATTTACTATACTGACCTCTGGTCACCTTACAATCATGTCCTGGTCACATTACACACGTATTCAATTTGGTTAACTCTGGTCACCTAACACATATATTCACGTTGGTTACCTCGGGTCATTTCAAGAAATAGGCCGGAGAACACGGTTATGGAAAGGGTATAAAAAAATAGCAAGGAACACACTGCCCACACTAGGGACTATATTCGTAGACAACGAAAATCAAAGGACGATAACTGTTTTCCCAGACCAATATTGACTATGGTTACCGCTGGTCACCTTACACCGATGTTTATATATTGACTTATGTTACCTCTGGTCACCTTGAACACATACTGACTATGTTTACCCCTGGTCCAGTTACAATGATGCTCTGGTTACATTACAAACTCA